GGTTTGGAGGGTTTGCACTGAAATCCTGAGATGTATATGATGTTTGGCATGGTAGGTCGTGGAAACTCAAAGGTGAAATCATTTCTCATCAGCCAGATATCGGCTGCCTTGAAGAGCTCCATGTAATGAATGTCACTGCCAAAATAACGCCAAACAAAAGGTTTGTAGTTTGGATCGGCAATTAACATTATTTGTAAACGGTTGAAGAGGAAGAACAATGAATTCTTGATCCTTTGAGTAAATGTCATCTTATCAGTTAGATCTGCTGTTGGGAAAGGAACGTAGGAAAGTGGGGAAGGTGCGATTGCTTCATGCCCCTCACCCTGAACAGTCCATCTGACATTAAATACAAGAGGAAGACCCAAACGGTGACCTAGTAGGACTCCTCCACCAAATCCTGGATCAGTGAGCATCAGATCAAATTTAGCATCACGAAGTCTCTGCATCAGCTTTGTATCCTCAAAGACTTCTTCGATCGTTTGAAGAGCCGTCTTGGTCATCTCATAGAAGTGCTTCATTAGCTCATACTCTACAGACACGCGAGACCAAATGGAAGATCCTTGACGACGCATGTCTAGTGTTCTCATGACATATGACCCGAAACCATCCTTATCAAAGCCAGATGAGGAAATTGTGATGGACTTGTAGTGAGGGGAGTCTTCCTTGATGTACCAGGAGTCTGAAGGACGCATCACGGTCACTTCATGGCCTCTGGTGTGAAGCTCTTCAATCATGACTTTCATGTTGACCCAGTGGCTTCCATCCAAAGGGAACACCAAGACTTTCCCTCCATTTACCAAAGACGATGAGCAGAGCAACACTGCAAGTGTCACCAGGGTCAGTCGATACATCTCTGAAAGAGATTCTGACAGAAGATATAAAGATGTTAGGGCTTTTCATAAAAAAGACTACTGGTTAAATTTTCAACCAGCTTAAAAAAGAGTTAGCTAATTTTAGCCACTGTTTTTTTTAAAGTTAGGTGTCAAAGTGACAGTCTTGGCCTTTTTGGTCAGCACTACTTTAACAACCTTTTTCAGAAATGACATCAGCCTCAGAACGTACAGTCTGGATAAAAGTGCTTAAGTATTCCTCCAGTCTAGTCTAATGGCTTACCAATTTCATATCCTGCTTTTTTAGGCCAATTTTAATAATCCCTTTGTGTAGGTTGATATTAATTGTGTACTTCACTCATAAATACAAGTAATTGTGCCATTAACTCTAAAAACAGGTTTGTACTCCTTATTTCTATTTTGACAAACCGAAACACAAAGCTGATGCATTCCAACGACCTTTATTTGAATGAATTTTTTAAAACTTCACTTATATTGATATCCTTCATAGATTCAAATAAAAACACATTAGTGCATTGTGCTTGTAAACAAAAAACAGCAGCATGAATTAATAAATATTGCAAAAATGCTCATAATCACTTGAAACATGTCCCAGAATTACAATGACAAAAATGTTGGAAATAAACGATAAACACGACTTTAAAATTTCAATTGTTTACAATAAACTAAAAGCTCATGTTCATTAAATTCATATTCAGTTTTCATTCACATGATATATGAGAACATTAAAAAGTGTTTCTGTTTAATGAAACAAACAGTTTATTCATATACACTATTTTAAATTTAATGTCAAACAGAAAAAAATGAAATGATTTAATTATGAGCTCTAATGCAGTGTATTCTATCAGTATAATAACAGACACAATATTGTATTTTGCTTAAGTTGTATTTTAAGATCAAGAAAATCCAAAATCTAAACAGCTAATCAAAATATAACACAAATAATCAGCCTGCAAAAGTGATTATTTATGTTAAATATTTCATTATGAAAAAATATTGAAATGTAGGAGACACACAGGGGTGGAGTTTAACTTGTTACTGACATATAAGAATGTTTGTGTTCGTTATCTGAGCCACAGTTTATTCACTTTATTTTAATGAAAGCAGCTTTGATGCAAGTTTTATTGTCTCTCTTTAAATACAAAAATCTTGTTCAATCCATATACATGAATATGCAGGTTTGTTTGTCAACACTCATTAAAAATAACTGAGATCTACTAACTAAACCACCTTTTTTTCGAATACCAACAATTTATTCTTTTTTTACTTTTCTGCCAAATACTTTTATGAAGAACAACTTCAATATAGAGAAAAGAACAGTGAATGCAATAAAAATAACTGCCAGTAGGAAAGCCATTACATCTATTGAGTAGTACTGGATGGTGGACATCTTGTAGGACTCTGTCCTCAGATGTGCGGCTCCTTTGTGCCTCATGACAAACTCAATCCAGAA